GGAGAGGAGCAAATGGGGGGGAGGGGGGAGGGGTTTGTGCGGGGAGAAGGGTGCAACAATGAATGAATGGAATCCCAAAATCTCTATAGATGTTCATTGAAATGAAAAATAAACAACCTAAATTTAAAAAAAAAGTCAAAACCAGTATGTATATGAACTTTATAAACTGTGTGTAAACTAAAAATAAAATGAATACATTAAATTTAAAAAACTATTAAATCAGTTTAACATTGAAATATTAATATTTTTCCTTTGATACATTCTGTAGCTTTATATTTGACCATCTCATGTAAATTTGTTTGCAGCATGATTATAACATTCCCCTTAATTCTATGTAAAAACTGGGAGCAATCTGTACTTCATTCCTATACTTTTCACATTTTTTCCTTTATTACTCTTAAAGCTACAAGTTTTCATCTTCTATTGTTTTGTGTTCCAATAAATTTTACTATTTTCCTTTTCCTATTTGTCATTTTTACAACCTATTGTAACTTTCAAAAAATAACTTTCAGCCTTATCTAGTAAATTAAACCTAAATCTCCCTCTAAACTGGCTTTCTGCACATTTCAGGAATTTTATTTTATGTGCAAGTGGCATCCACTTCCTAAATAATATGCTTCTGGAAACTCTATGAACTTTGATAAATGTATATAGTTGTAGAGGGGCTTCTGGCCTTTTGTTCATAGGGTCGCTATGAGTCGTACTCCACTTGAAAGCAATCAACAACTTAATGAAAACATTTCCTAATCTTATCACCTTTTCTCTTAATCTAAACTTAATTTGGAATAAGCTTCACTTTTGAAACACAGATTTTCTAACCTCCTCCCCAAGTTTATTTTCTTCTAACTAAAGCCAGAATAATACACTCCAAATGGTTCTCTCTGAATCTTATTTAGATTTTCTTTTTGGCACAGAATATGGCTCATTTTTGCAAATGTTCCATGTTGTTATTTTTGTTATGTACCATTGAGTTGGAACCTGTAGATCCTCCAGTGGTTTTTCAGAGGCAGTAAATCACATGGGAGAATGCCCATCCTACCCAAAACAGCTTGTGGAAAGGAAGCTCTGCTGGCCTAGTGACAAGCTGTGCTGCAATCCCGAAGGCACGCAGTTCGTGCTCCGCTGGAGGGCCACCACTGGGAAATGACTCCATGGTACACAACAAGAAGTGGGGAGAAAGAACAGCTGGTGGATTAGAACTGCATGACTTTGGGAGTGCAGCAGATTCTTACTACCCATAGTCTACTAGAATCCCTATGTTCCATATGCACAAAAGATATATAGCATACATTTGTTAAGCACATGAATGTATAAACACGTATTAGGTCAAAATTGGTACATTTTCTTAAAATAGAAATATAAACAAATCATCTTAATTCAATTTACTGTAATTAAAACTATATCAAATTACCAAGAATCTTGAGTTATGATTGGGTTCTGTTTCAACAACTGTAAGACAATTCTTCACCTGTTGTTTTAGTTTGACATAGAACAGGTTTATTACAGAAAAAAATACAGACTAGTAAACGCAGATAAAAAACTAAAACTTGTCAATCAAGTTGATTTCAACACATTGATTCTTTAGGACAGAGTAGAAACATTCCCATTTGGTTGGGTTTTGTTTTTATTTGCAGGGAATAATTATTATATATTGTTTCATTCCAGTACATCGTTTTATGCAATCTTAGATTTACATTATTTTATACTCATACACAAGGCATTTTATATAATTAATTAGTATTGTTCTATGCCAATTACTACTCTATTTTTAAAAGTCCCCATTGAGTCTTATCCCTTCACACACACACATCTATCTGCCCCTTGCCCTTTTTTATTCCTCTCTTTGGACATTTATAAACATCTTACTACTTACAAATCTTTACAAAAGCATGCTGCTTCATCAGTCTCTGTAGAATGGTCAGAACTGATTTAGCCAATGAGTCACAAAAGTTCCAAATGAAAATAATAAAATCACCCATAAACCTCCACTGTTCTTAATAAGAGCTACATAGCAAATTGCTTTCCCGTTCAACCATTCATACAAATTTTGCATTACAGTAAAACTCTTTGCACGTAGTCCCTCTAATTCTCATTAATCCTTCTATCCTACCTCCTTCCCACCTTCTGGGTTTCCTCCTTAGGCAAATGCTGCTCAGCTATTTTGACCTTATAAGTTTGGTTATTATAGGAGTGTCTTACTGGTAATAATGATGACCTTACAGGCCTACTGTTTGAATGAAAGTTGAGCCATGGGGGTTGAGTTTTGTTCCAGGTTCAAAGAGTAACTCAGGATCATAGCCTCAGGGGTTCCACCAGTCTTTCAGGCCAGTTAGAATGGACTTTCGAATGTTTTTTAACACCACTGTCACCCACTCCCCAGGATCTTGTACTTGTGATCCCTTTCAGCAGTCAATGATTGTAGGCAGGCAGGTTAGGCAGTTGTGACAGAAGATAAATAACTTTTACATATTTCTTGCTGCTATTATTTGTATAAGCCTGCTGCTAAACACTGTGACACTGATATGTCAAATGCGATAATGGTTACCCATGGTGGACAGTGTTTGGTGGAGCTCCCAGATTAAAACAGGCTTGGAAGCAGGAGTGGCATCCACTTCCAAAATAGCCTGCCTCCAGGGAAACTCAATGAACCTAGAGAAACAAAGAAAGTTAAACAAGTGTTCAAGTCTTTCATTCACAGGGTTGCTATGAGTCATCTATGACGTGATGACACTTAACAACATTCTTTAAGTGTCATGAATCATTAAATATAAACAGCTACAAGTAAATGTGTAAGAATCATTTCAGCAACAAAATGCATACTTACTATACTACAATTTCTACTAATTATTGTCGAGTTGGAATTGACTCATAGAGGACTCAAGTGGATTTTCAGAGGCTTTATCTGCTATGAGAGGAGAACGGCTATATTTCTCTGACAGAGCAGCAGGTGGATTTGAACCATCAGTCTATGAGGTGGCAGCTCAACTCCTGACCCAGTAGGTCAGAGTTCCCTACAAATTTGTGTGTAGTACAATTCAAAGATGTTCATATGCATGGCTCATTATAACTCATATACATCACAGATCATATGACTCATCAATGAACACCACTATACTACTTTAGAAACATGAAAAACAAAAGGAAAGCAAACATCAAAAACAAAGGGTCAACAAAATCCTTCAACATTTACTAGAAAACAAATTTTATTTAAAAATCATATATATACAATATTTTAAATTAAACTATGAAACTTTATTATTTTACAGAGTATCAGAAATAAAAGGATACAGCTAAATGTTTCTTTGTTGCTTTGTTTTCTATCGGAATTTTAGTATTTATTCAACCGTGTTTTTAGATTTTCAAGGTGTTCCATATTAACGTCTTGTAATGACACAATCACTGCTTTAGACAAGGAGGGATTAAATGAAATAGTCATCAAACAACATAAATCTATTAGATCTCTCTGACATTTCTCCAAACCTCTCAGAAACTTCTTGTAGTGAAGAGGATTTTTTTTTAACTGTTTCATTTCTGGTACTGAAAACCCTATAAGACTAGTAAGTATTTCATCTACAAAGCCTACATCTAGATAGGCAGTGCCATCAGAAATCTTAGCGGTTATATTCCAACTGCCACCAGAGCTTGTTAGGTTACCAGTTAAGGTTACAATAAATGCTTTAATTTTAACAATTGTAATTTCCTTTGGTTTGCTGGACCTTAGAACAGACAAATAGGTAAATGGTGGAGAATACAAGTCCACAGTGATAAGATTACTGCTGATTTCTGAAGACCTTAAAGTCTGGAAATGGTGATCATTTTCATTTGGCATTTGTAAACTCTTTTTTGACACATAATTGACTAGCTCTCTACTTGCATTATTTAAGTTATGTTCATATGAACTGCTGATAGTTTGTTTTACTCTCTTATTTGTTTGTGAGTTATCTGTATTTGTAAAATCATCATTATCAACTGAAAAAGCATTACTATTTTGCTCTCCAGCAGATAGATGACCAAAAGATTGGTCTTTATTATTTATTTGTTCAGATGTCTTTTTCTCATTCCAATTAGTGTTTCCATTCTTGTAAATCAAAGAAAAATTATTCGGAGTATCTGATTTATGTGAAATTCTCTCTGTATTTTTATCTGTATCCCTGTTCATTGTCAATAGCTGCAAATTTTTAGTCTCTAGTTCTTCTTTCCAAGCAGTTTCTTCTAAAAGCAAGACCTCCTCCAGTGAAAAGTCATCTAATTCTCCATCATTAAAATGCATAGATTGATTTGTTTCCTCCTGTGATCTTTGAGAAACAGCAAATCCTAGCTTCAAACTTGGCTGTCTTGTGGTTTTAATCTTTGAAGAACTATCTGTACTAAAATATCCTGTTTCCATAGTGTCATTATTTGCTGCAAGTTCATCATTTTCATCAAGACTTGCCAACAGTTCCTCATCAGAAGGTCCAAACACAGGATCTAGATCATCTGTAGTTATGGGAATGCTATGGTTTGGATTATTTGGTGTGACTGAAACTAACGCATCAGTTTCCCCAATTAATCCAGCAAGTACTTTTTCCTGTGCATAATCTTCTAAAAGAGCATCTACTTCACCTCCCAATACTTTTACATTTTCTGGTTTCAGTAAGAGAACACCAAGACGGAAAGAAATGTTTCCACAAATCAAAATTTTTGTACCTGGAGGAAGATCACTGTGAAGAGCTGGAATTGCCTGATATTCCATTCCCTGAATTTGTAGAATTCCATCAGTTATCTGTAGCATCAACATTCGTGAAGGCTTTGCTTCCCAAGGTTTTTGAGGTATTTGTGTTTCGGCTGTAACTAGATCATTTGCTGTATTCTTTCCTCTTAACTTTTGTATTTGGGAATATGCAGGTTGACTTACATCAATGAAAGAATTAACCTGTAGAGCATAAAATCCACTCAGTTCTCCTTTTGGGGCTTCTAAAATGTTTTCAGGTAAAACAGGATACTCCAAATCTCTCAGGTCTGTTAGCAGCCATTGCTCAAACACTTGCTTATTCATTTGAGCCTGACTCAATATGGCATTATTATTTTCTTCCTGGATCCAGTTAATACAAGCTTCCACCCACATATGAGGTACTTTAATATGCCACATAGCAGAAAGCCAGGTTTCGACTCTTGATGCAATACCAGTTACACTCATTTTTTTAAGTAAAAGGAATATGCATCAATTATCTAAAAGAAAAACACAAAAATTAAGATACTTCAGTATATTTAGATACAGTTTTTAGCACATTTAGATAAACTTTTCTATAATTCTCTACAATGCATAAACAACTACAACCATATACTTTAGATATTTCCTTCTTTAGCATCTTAAAATTCTTTGACTTTTTAATTCAACTAGTTAAATCTCTACAAGTAATCAATTGGTAAAATGAGAAAAGAAAAAGGTTCTGAGACACATATACCTAGGTTTGAAAGCTAGTTTTACAAGCTAAGTGACTTAGTATAAATTTCTTCCATCTTCTCATCCAGTTTTCTCATCTGTATAACAATGCTATTATGTATCTGACAATGTTGTTGCAAGGTTTACATAAATAATGTCAACCTTATAGAAAATACTGACTCACACACTGCTGTCTAGTCAGTTCCAACTTGCAGCAGCCCTCCATCACATCTGCAACTGTAAATCATAATGGGAGAATGTCCATCTTTCTCCTGTGGAGCTGGTGGTGGATTTTAATGGCCAAATAGTGTAGCCTCTGGGTTAGCAACACAACTCTCTACACACTACACCACCACAGACAGCTCTCTTACGGAAGATACCCATTAAATACTAATTATTTAACAATGTCAGTCTCTCAACTAGGGTACACCTAATACAGGCCATGGTCTTTGTAATTACTCGATATGTATCAGAGAGCTGCACAAGAACTAAGGATGACAGAACAACAATCGATGCCTTCAAATTGTGGTGCTGGAGAAAAGTCTTGAACATATCAGGAAATGCCAAGAAAACAAACAGGTCTGTCTTGGAGAAGATGAAACTAAGTCTCTCCTTGGAAACTAGGATTTTGAAGCTCCGTGTTACCTACTTGGGACATATGGCCAGGAGAGACCAGTCCTTGAAGAAGGACATCATGCTGGAAAGGGTAAAGGAGCAGAGCAGAAGAGAAGACCCTGGAAGAGAAGGATTGATATAGTAACTGGGGAAATGGGAGTTGGTGTGTCAGAATTTGTGAGACTGGCTCAGGGCAGGCTTCAGAGTTGCTGTACGCAGGGTCGTGGTAAGTCGCAGGTGACTTAATGACACATAACAACAACATACTGTTTACAATTTAAGAGGCAATGTTAATTAATGTTCATTCATTCTATAGACAAGGCTTTTTTAAAAGTTATCTATGCCATTCAGCACTTAAAAAATACAATCTAAGGATAAAATTATAACAATAGTGAACTTCAAATTGATGCAAAGCTTCTAATTGACTAAATACTCAAGTTTTCCAAGTAAACATACTACATACTTTCTCAATCCCTGTATCTCTTCCTAAAAAACAAACAAATCCATTGCCACCAAGTTCATTCCTACTCACAACAACCCTATAGGACAGACTAGAATGACACTACAGGGTTTCCAAGGTTGTTAAATCTTTAAAGAAGCAGCTTAAAGATGACCACATCTTTATCTAGAGGCCGGTGGGTTTGAATGACAAACCTTTCAGTTAAGAGGCAAGCTCTAGCCAATTGTTTTTTCCACAGATTAAGATGCTTAAGAATTAGATTACCTGCTATGCATCTGAGAGCAGGACAATGAATTAAAAAAAAAATTAGAATTTATAAAAGTTTTAATAGATCCACAGTGAAATTAATCACTTGGATAGGAATACACGATTTGATGATTTCTAACTATTTGCTCAGTGGAGTACTTAGACAAGAAACAGAAAAGGTTTATAGAGAAGAAGCTACGGAATTACCAGCTCATTTTCACAAGTAAAGAGTTTACTGGTAGGATTCTTAGAGACACTGTGATCAATCAAAGTATAAAACATGAGACTTAAGTGCGATATACACAAAAATAAGTATCTGCGTGCTTTCTAAGTTGGCTTTCTTATTTCTCTTTTTTCACAATTACTTCACAAGATTATTGTGGATGTATAAGGAAGCAGGAAAAGTAGTACATAACAGCAAATAAGTAGCTGTATTATATTATTGACTTATAATCTGTGACTTAAGACAAGTTACTAAATTTCAAGGTTATCCTACAGATCTCTTCTGTATAAAGAAAGTAACTGCATTTTCCTCAAAATATTTTTATGATGATTAAATTACTTAAAGATGAATAAAGCAGTACTTGAAACATAGTAAGAACTCAGCAAATAGGGAGCTCTGGTGGCCTAGCAATAAGAAGCTGCACTGCAATCACAAAAGCATGTGGTTCAAATCCACCAGATGCTCTGAGGAAGAAGCATGGACAATCTCCTCCCTTGTGATTTACTGTCTCTGAAAACTCGTTGAAGGGTCAGTTAGGGGTTGGGTCTGACTCTACACAACAAAAACAACATGGTACCTGGAGGGAGTTCTGGTGGCCTAGTGGGTAAAAAGTTGTGCTGCCAACCCAGAGGCACTCAGTAAGAATCCACCAGCCACTCCACAGGCAAAAAATGGGCCATCATCTCCCATGAGGTATACAACCTTAGAAAACCAGCTAGATGGTCAGCAATGACATATTTCTGACTTGATGGTACATAACAACAATGGCACCAAATACAGTCTATCAAATTCAAACTGATGTTATTTGTTTCAACCCAATTTAGGCATCAAATCTACTAAAAACCAGTCAAAGTTACAAATTCCCTACAGAACAAAGTCTAATTTTATTATAATATTTAAAAATTTAACTATTTTCTTCTTTCATCAAGGACCTGTGAAGGCGGTGGCCTGGGTCATCATTGAGAGAAATACTACACACGCTTGGGTAATGACTTCCAACAAACAAGCGCCTGTGCAAGATCGCCATTATTCCCAGCAAAAAGCTCCGGAACAAGAAAGCAGGCAACGACACACATCTGATGAAGCAGATTCAGAGAGGGCCTGTGAGAGGCATCTCCATTAAACTGCAAGAGGAGGAGAGAGAATTATGTACTAGAGGTTTCAGCCCTGGTTCAGATGATAATTGAAGTAGATCCTGATACTAAGGAAATGCTGAAGCATTTGTACTTTGGCAGTCCAACCTACAGGTCATTCAGCCCACAGGTGGGATGAATTTCAAACACCATGTGGAGACATTTGAGTCTGTCTGTTATGCTGTAATATTTTCAATAAACTTGGGCACACACACAAAAAAATTAAGATCATTTATAACAATGAGTTATCCACCAAATACCAAAAAGAAAAAGACAAAATATATAAGTGAAATTTTATAAAATAAACTTCTGTTCATCCAGAATTTACAAAAAAGTGAAAGTCTAGCTATCAACTCAAAAGAGAGTATCTTCAAAGAAACACATATCTAACAAGAATGTAATGATCAAAGTAAATCTAAAACCTCAATGATTTCACAATGTAAAGACAAATAACCCAACCATGATATGGTGAAAAACATTTCAACAAAAAGGGCATTTAAATGGTCACCAAACACAAAAGATGCTCAAAGTCTGTTGGGAGCTGCTTCAAATCCACCAGTTACTTGAAGGAAAAGACAGGTAGTCTCCTATGAGATTTACAGCCTTGGAAACCCAATGGAAGGTGAGCTATGAGTCAATTCAATTTTGACAATGAGAGAAAAGATGAAAAAAGGGGGGGGGAAATCATAGAAGATATAACTATGGATTTTCCCCCTCCCAAACAAAAGCAAAAAAAAAAAAAAAAAGTCAGATACACAGTAATAATTAGTCAAAATAATAGGAAGGCCTACCAATACCATATCAACAGGAAATTCCACATGAACAACAACCAATGGAAACAAAGAAGGTCAAGCTAAAGGCTCTGGCAAGAAATAAAGCTCCAGGAATCAAAAGTATACTGACATGATGAAATTAACAGATAAAGCCCTAGATGTGCTCACCCATCTGTGCCATGAAATTTGGAAGAGAGCTACCGGTCAACGGATTAGAGATCCATATTTGTTCCTATCACCAAGAAAGGTGATTCAACAGTGTGCAAATTATTGAACAATACTATTAATATTATTGTTGTTGTACCCATCAAGTCAGAATCGATCCACAGCTGACCCTCCAGCAGGCTTTCAGAAGCATGGGAGGAGATTGCTCATCCTTCTTTCATGGAGCAGCTGTTGGGATTGCAGCCTTCAGGACTGCAATGCAGCTTCTTGCCAATAGGCCATCAGAGCTCCTTTAATATTAGACACAAGGAAGATACTGCTAAAAAAAAAAAGATACTGCTGTAGAGCATTCAAAACCAGTACAATGACAGTGAACTGTCAAAAATTCAAGCTGAATTTATAAGGGATATCTTTGCTAAGGTCAGAAGGACCCTAGCTGAAAGGAAAGAATACCTGAAGAATGTCTTATTTGTGTTATCTGCAAAGGCTGGTGGTGTGGATCATAACAAATTATGGCTAGCACTGAGAAGAAGAATAATGCCAGAAAACTTAATTATGCTCCTACAAAATCTATACCTGTTGTACAAACAGGGCAAGGGAACACTGTGTGGTGTAAAATCAGGAAAGGTGTGCATCAGGGTTGTATCCTTTCTCCTTAACTATTCAATCTGTAGGTTGAGCAAATCATTCAAGAAGTTGTACTCTATGAAGAAAAATGTGTTATCAGAATAGATGAAAGACTCAACAACTTGCATAATGCAGATGACACAACCTTGCTTGCTGCAGAACATTAATCTTTGCACTGCATGTCAAAATCAAGAAGACAAAAATCTTCACTTCCAGGCCAATAAGTAACTTTAAGAAAGATGAAGAAATGATTGAAGTTGTCAATTATTTTATCCACAATTAACACCCTTAGTACCTGCAGTAGTCACCAGACGTACTGCACTGGGAAAGTCTGCAGTCAGTGACTTCTTCAAATTACTGAGAAGCAATCATGTTAGTCTGAAGATCAGGATGCACCAATTCAGGACATGATCTTTTCAATCATTCACTATGCAAATGAAAGCTGGAAAACTAATAAAGATGATAGAAGAATTGGTATCTTTGAGCTGTGATCTTGGAGAAGAGTACTGAAT